GGCTACGCACCTCGGAAGCTGCACTGGTTCGTAGTCTTCTACAGCGTCTTCTCGTGTTATGAGCAATGCGCTGATATGCTGCGTGTATTAGGTATCGCTAGCAACATGGTGCACCAAGCTCGAAGAAGAGCGGTACTTATTTCGCCGCAAAATCACGCAAGCCACTTTTGCTGTGTGTAGAGAGTACATTTTGCGTCAATGGTTCTTGTCCCAAGCCAATGCACCGGCCAAGAAGAAGGCAAGGGACAACGCGTAAGCACCCTCTCGCGTCGAGCAGTAGCCGCATGACGTCGTCTTGGGATAATGTAAGCGCAGTCGTATACTCGTCGTAAAGCAATTGGAGCCCAGCGCCCCGTTTCCACACATTTGGTGGACGCTAGAGCCCAGGATTTCTTTATTTCGTCATGAGGTCCTCTCTGTGTTGGAATATGCGATCTCCGGATCTCTGCTCCACGCTCGTAGATAGCGCAACATCCATTCTCGTTCTTGGTGTGTGGTCGCTTCGAGGTTTTTCACCTCCAGGGTCTGCTGGAGGTTTTTCCCTCGGTTTAGTCGTTTAGTAGTCTAGTCAGTCTACTAGTCGTTTAGTCGACGTCGTAGAGGCTCGACAGTGTCTCTCGACTAATACGACCAACTTCTGGATTGACCGAATTGTGTGAACATGATGTCCGGAACGGTCCATGTCGTTCTCCACCTTTCGGTCTCCGTGGACCTCCGAGGCGGCGGCCTCGTGCCTCGCCGCCTCCTCCTCATGAGAGCACCTATGGTGCTCTCATCCTCATTCTCACTTCAATACTCTGAGTGGTTGCAGGAAGCACACTTGCGTATTGCAGTTGACTTGATGTGTTGTCGTGGGTCGGAATTTTCATTTGCTTGGACCTCACGCATTCGATGGACAGGCGTAGAGAATCTACAATGGCCGACAGGCGCAGAGCGAGAAGGCAATCACCTTTGTGCTGCGTTGTGGAACGACAACAGGAGTTCGTGTGCAAACGCGAGAGGGTGATTGGTTAAATTTATCTTGTTGGCATGCGCCGTTTTACGCCCTTGGTTTAGTAGTATGCCCCACCTAAACCAAAAAGCTCGACCATACCGTGACCGAAAAAATACGGGGTTGACCCTCGTAACGTGCATGAATAATTCTCTCGTTGGCGTCTTGGGCCATATTCATAACAACATATTTGGCACAGGGCACTACAGTATAGTATTGAATGGTCACGCGGCGCAACGATTACCGATATGCTTTGTTGTTCAGAGCCCAGCCCAAAGCGCGGTGGTGCCACCTTTCTATGCGGATTGTGGGTGGCATCCGACCATCCATTGGTTTTCTTCAGCTGGTAACAAAACGTCCATAGCAAAGAATGTCGCCTGTCCTCATTGATCAGTAAGTTAAGGGATGTGCAAGAAGTTTGCTACTAATCCAGTATTGGCACCGGGTTTGCACAAGTTCATTGCTGTGGTTGACATGTTGGTGAAGAGCGTCGAAGGGATGCGTTCCGAGCATCTTCCTCGATGCCCGGGACCCAGATCACTACATAGTACTATGTTTGAGGACTAGCGTTTCGTCGGCAAGCTACATACCCTTTACAATTGCAGCGTTCAGGAGTAGTACTGAGTACCACATCGAAGCTCCGACCAGGATGACGCGACACAATCGTTGATGAAGATGATAGAGATTCGTCGGTGAACGCAACGTGTCGTCATCCAAGTACAGTAAACTGTGGATCGTAAGATTATGGACTTCAATCTTTCGACCGACGAGCACCCACGAGCTCTAAAGCTGACTAGACCCAACAATATATAAACCAGGTAGCAATACTCTATACTAGCAACATGTTGCTCGGCAGTGAAACCTCTTTTGCCCTGAAACAGGAGCAACCCGGCAACAAATGTACCCGGTATCCAAAGCACCTCTGGTAGGTGAGTCTCAAAAGTCGCCTGTCTGCAAGTGTACGAAACCGTGGTACCTTGGCCAGTTATATGTGTCTTGGATTTACCAGTGTACTCACAGCGCAACATTATTCCTGTCGTTGGGACGTAGCTTTTGGTACGAATGGTCGATTTTGCATGGATGGCACTGCTGGTCACCGAGTCGACACGTTGGCGTCATTGTCGATGGTAGGTCAACAAATGCGGCTGTAGCGCGAATGGTCGATTTTTGCATGGATGGCGCTGCTGGTTACCGAGTCGACACGTTGGTGTCATTGTGGATGGTGGATCAACAAGCGCGGCTGCAGCGCGGTGATGCCACGGTCTCGAGGCTCTCGCCACTGGGATGGGACCCTTTGCCGTACTTCGAACCCATCTCGTCGTCCTTGGCTCACCAATCAATTGTGCGGACTCGAATCAGTTGGCATCGATGGCTGCTTCGTCATGGCCTGATACCCTGTTGTCTGTGAGATTGCAGTCTCGCACATCTCCTCGGCTGCAAATCGTGGGCTCGTAGCAACGACAGTGCATGTATTTCTTGTGCTGTCGGTCACACCTTCGGTGCCCCTGTGCGCCCCCCTCGAACGCATACACATAGGGAAGACTTGGTATCCCTTGTTTGGATCGTTGGTACTGTACATTCGTTTCCGCTTGTTGACGTCCGTGCCATGTCGTTGCATTGCACACGCACATTTTTTTCATTTGCAGTTTGGTGGGTATCTTTTCGCCTCCTCCATGCAACTTGTGGACACCCGTCGTCCATTCGAGCCCAAGGATGTCACTGTTGGCCCGCTTTGTCTTGGTAAACGTAAGGAACGATTCTTGAAGGCAGGTTCCAGCTGGTTTTTATCGTAACAAGCATACATTTTGGTGTGGACCAGCCGTTTTATTGGCTGTCGCAATGCAACGGACGGCGTCGCTATCAAGGCTATCATTTGCCAACTTGCCTCCTTTGCCGCATCCCGATCTCAGAGTATCATGTCGTCGTGCATTTTTGAAGGCTGCTCGCAACAATGCCTCAAGAACTCGATCAAGTGCGAGTTCCACAAAGGCCGCAGCATCTGCAAGGTACCCGACTGCCGCAACCAAGTATACGCACGCCAGCTCTGCGTCGGCCATGGCGGCCGCCGGCCTTGCATCCATGCGGGCTGTTCGGCGAATGCTCGCATTGGCGCGTACTGCTGCCGCCACGGGCCCAAGTCGGGGAAGAAAATTTGCCTCGAACCTGGTTGCGTCAACATTCAGCACACTAAAGGCAAGTGCATTCGCCACGGCGGCGGGCGGCGGTGCCGCAAGGACAAGTGTGAGACCCATGCGCGTGCCGG